CAAATTAGGTTAATTAAATTTTGTGAGACTTGTGATTAGTCATGATTAGGCTAATTATGCTGTTGATGTGAAATTGCATGTCTAAGGATGTGAATTATAAGGATTTGAAATTATATTTGTTGATTGTAGAAAAATCTATTGAATTTATAGCTTTAAACTGAAAATTGAGGACCTTAGAGGTCCCAGAAAACAAAACCGATTAAATATTTATGATCATAATGATTTTTAGAGCCTAGTATGAAGTTTTGTAAAAATTTGATTCAGAATGAATTAAATTGATTTTATTAAATATTATATCTTCTATTTATATATATAATTATATGGAACTCAGTTGAGATAGACTCAACAAAAGAAAAGAAAAGAAAAATCTGGAGAGAAGAGAGAAAAGCAAGAGAAAAAGAAGAAAAAACTCAAGATTGAAGAAGAAACATGGGGAAATTGAAGGAATTGTAAGGGAATTCAAAAATTTAATTCAAGGTATGTGTAAATCAACTAAAACTTTTGGAATACCTCTTCAATTGTATAAAATTAAGACTTAAATTAGAGATTTTACACTCAAATGAGTTAGGGTTTGTAACTCATAAGCTTGAGCAAATTATACGCTTGAAATTAAACATGGATTCCTTGCACTTGTTAGATTTGAGAGTTAATTCCCTTATATTTGCTTATCTTCAAGTTGATTGTGAGAAGTTGAGCCTTAATCTTTAGGTTTTGTATGGTTTGAACTCATAAAATTATATATGAAATGAAGATCTATGTGAATTTGGAAGAAGAAGTTTTGAAAAAGTTTGAAAAAGAACTAAACAAGGATTTTGATCTTTCTTGCTTGAAGATTTATTGCATTTTTGATGTTTTGATTTAGAAAACAATCATCATCTCATGTTTTCTATTAGTTTTACATGTTTTTGAGTGATTTGAGTTGAAACCTAGCTTGGAAAATGGAAGAACATGTGATAGAACCAACAGATATTTTCGGCAGCAGAATTTTGCCCAGAGCCGCATGTGCGATAAGGCTTCCCGCATGTGCGGAAGTCTAATTCCAGAAACTATTTTGCTTCTGAAATAATTGCACGTGCCCCCGCATATGCCCTGGCTCTCCTGCACGTGCGGTTTTGGTCTCGCACGTGCGAATCTCACCTGTTTTAGCCTAATTTCGGATAAGCATACCTCCCTCATCCAGACTTCGTTTTAAGTGATTCTTGAGCCTAAATTCAAGCCCTAGAAGTCTAATTTCCAATGGTGGTGGTCTCACATCCAAATTCTAAGTACACAAATAGATATGTTCAAATTAGTGAAAGGTTGTTCCCTTTCTTTCTAACCGTTTCATGTTATTTCCTCTCCTAACCCAGTTTCCTTTCGTTTCTTCTTATTTTCCTAAACACGGAATATAACCCACTGAAGACTAATGAGTTTAGAACCAACATAAGTAATTGGTTAAGACAAAGTAAGGGATCGGTTTATTTGATTAAGAAATGATTAAGAGAAGTAAATTTGATCAAGAGAGTAATATTATGTTTCGATATGTTGTGCTATGTGCATTGTGATTGCAAGTCAAGATTCAAGGCTGGTCATGACCTAAGCTTTTAGGGGATTTGGGTCATGACAAAACCATTGGCTACTTCAGAATACTTGGCTTGAGTCCAAAAATCCATTCCTTTTCTCATCTTTTCCTTTTTTTTTCCTAGGGTTGAAGACATGATTTTTGAGCTTCCAAAACTCTTGAAAAACATGAGGAAACATAAAAATAACCTTTGTTTAAGAATAAGATCATCAAACCTATATCAAAACTTCAAGATTTCTAACTTCCTAGCTTCATTTCAATTCTTTTGTAATCTTCTTCCTCTCCCTACTTCAAAACATGAATTTAAATATGCAAAATCATTAAAAGCTATGAGAAATCATGAGAATAGAACTTCATATGAGCTAAGATCATCAAAAACAAGATCAAACTAGCAAGAATTTGAGACCCTCTACTTGTTCTTCAATTACCCTACGTCCTCATTGTCTTTTCTCTTCATTTCTTCCATACTAACCTAAATTAACTCTAGTTTCTTCTTAATCTTAGGTGATTGATAGGCTAGCTACAAGATTTAGGGTTTAATTTTACCTCTAGGATGATCAAAAGTGGTGATTTAGGTTGAAATTCTTGAAGTTCTTCAAGCTTCCCTTATTTCCCTTTTCTTTCTCCTCCTTCTTGCTCTTTCTTTTCTTCTCAACTCCTCTTGCTTTCTCCAGCAGAAGCTCCTCTCTTCTTGACTTGGTTTGGCTTATATAAGGTAAGGTAAGACAAGAGTTATAAGGGACAAAAAGAGAGGTGTATGTGTGCTTCATCAAATTGTCTAATTTTATTTGCTTAGCTTAACTAATCTTACTTAATTAACTTAGTTAATCTAGGTTAGGACGAATCAATCAAGGCTTATACTAATTATCAAGATTAAGCTTAATCCTATTTAGCTTAATTAGTCTTAATTAGGGCCCACTAATCATATTTAATTAACACTACCCTTGATTAGCAAAATAACATATATTATTAAAATGATGAGTACATTAGTCTAAGATCTTTAAGCTCCTTAATTAGTACATTTGCACATCCTAGAATTCACAAATTCTAGACTTAAGGTGTCCCCTAACTCTTAATGATCTTTAAGTATTTCTATTCTTAAGTTTGTCTCATTAAGGCACGTTTTTCATTTCTAAATTTCTTGCCAATTGTATTCATCTTCTGGGGTTTCATCTTGTCAATTCATATTTCTATCTCTAAAGTGTTGAAAGGTAATTAAATTAAATTAAACATTCGGTCATGTTATGTAAAAGCGCTTTTGATGTGATACACACTTACTTGCTATGTTCAAAAAGGGACTAATTCTTAAGTCTTAATTATGGATAGTAGGATTCTCATGTTCAAAGTTTCCTAGCTACTCATTTATAAGCTTTACATTGTGTACTTAGTCTAATAAGATAGTTAATTTAACTTTGAATATTCAAGGGTAGATAATCATATAGTCATAGCGTGCGACATTCTTTGGGGTGTCACATTATGACTTGCAAATTCAGTACCATTCTGGTAAAGCTAACACATTGGCAGATGCTCTTAGCAAAAAATCAATGGAAAACTTGGCTTGCTTACTCAGTAGGCGGAAGGAAATGCCAGAAGATTTGCAAAGAATGGAAGTGGAAATTGTGTCACGTGAACAAGGAGGAGTGTTAGCTACAATTTCGGCTCAACCAACAATCATCAAAGAAATCAGGCAGAAACAAATGAAAGATAAATTTTTCAAGAAAGTTTGTGATGAAATCGAATCAAAGTTGAGGTCAGGGTTCACTATAGAAGATCAAGTGTTAAAGTTTGTAGGTAGGTTGTGTGTTCCAGATATTTCCATTCCATTGGGGTCAATCTGTAAAACTCATATAGTTTAAGTTTTATTTATTTATTTATGCTTCCTTATTCTACTGGGGTCATTTTGTAAAATCTCCAAAAGTTTTAGCCAAAATCTACATATAATTCAAAAGCATTTCTCAACTCTGTGGTAGCTGTGGCTCTACCCATGGAGGGAGCACCCCCTCCAAGCCCTAGGCCTTAACTACTAAGCCAACTCTTTGGGGTTCCATCAAATTAGGATTTAATAATTACTGATTTGTACAATCATCACCAATTGGTCCAGTTGAACCACATGGACATAAATAAAAAACTTTAGAAACTAAATAGACAAAATTTAAAATAAATAAATAACTTGAGATAGTTGAAATTAACCATTAGGCTACATATTTAACCTCCTAAGCCAGCCACTCTTCCTCTCTTAAGGAATATAGAATGACTTATTGAAATATATGAGCTTACATCTCACTTAAACAATAGGGTGTTGGCCATAGGTCCATTTTATAGATACAAGGGCATTTTTGCTTAGGTCCATATGGATAGCGCTTATCTATACAAATTGTGCCCAGATAATGTGCACAATCTGGACCCCTCTCTCTCACCTTCTCCCAACAAAACCCTAAAAACAATCACATACACACTCTCTAAAAAGAATCATAACGTCAGCCTCCGATTCAAATTTGCTTCCTCTTCTTCTATCGTCATAGATTGGTCATTTCAATTGGCGACCAACATAATCCACCTCTTCTTGTTCGGATTGTTGTCTTCGATCACAATGGCGGCGATGGTTGCAATAGTGGTGGTTCATTTGTATAGCAGCGATGCAAAACCAGAGCAAGGTGCAGACAGAGTTGTTGCTGGCGATGGTAGGGAGAGAGAGAGATATTGGCACTGTCACCGTCAAAATTGAAGATGGAGAAGAGACGGGCGGCATAGGAATCGAGGAGAGATGAGACCTTGCAGTAGTCGGCAGTAGTTGTGATAGGAAGGACTAACACAGTATGTCGATGATGTACTTACACTTGTAGACTAGGGATACGTTGCCGTTGAGGTTTTTGGAGAAATTGAAGGCTCAACCAAACCCATTTCCTTCTTCCTCACAATCCCTAAAATTTCATCATAAATCCACATTTTCCACTTTACATGTCTTTTATGGCTTCAAATTTTACTATTTTATTAATTTTGTTTTTTGGGTTTGACTTTATATATATATATATTGGTTTTGCAAGATATTCATATGTAGGTCACAGATGCCAAGACTAAGATCCTTACTTGAAAGATGTGGAAGTTGTAGAGCAAACCCACAATTTGAAGAAGTTGATTGTGCAGAGATTAAGAAGAGATGATTTTTCACTAATTCCTTAATCAGATGAACAAAATATACGAAGATAACCCAAAAAACTATGACAGATAGATTTAATTTGAATAGATAGGTTCAATAGATAGTTTTAAAAAATCCAACAAATAAAATAAAAAAATTGAACAGATAGGTTCAACATATAGATTAAAAATATTAAAATAATTTTAGACAAAAATTTGAATATGTAGGTTCAAAAAATCGAACAAATAAAAATAAAATTATGAACAGATAAGTTAAAATAAAAATTTCAACAGATAAGTGGTATTTATGGAACAAAAAGACTTTTGACCAACAAATGTCCTTATGTTCCCAATAGAATCACAATTGTCCTTAATGGCTTATAGGGATGGAAATATGAATTTATGAAGTATTTTCCCTAAACAATATAATAATAATAATCTCATTTGCCACCAATGATAACTTGTTGAACACATTAATCAACACTTCTTTTTTCTTTTCTTTTTTTGGTCTCGTGGATGACACTCAATTTGATGAACAAGCAAGTATTGGACACTCCTGCACTATATGATAAAAGTAGCATTATTAACCTGCAACTAATCCTTCAGAAAGCAGCAGCAGCAAATGTCTCCTTCTCACTTCACCCAGCTTAAGCTGGTATACTACTTTTACTCTTCTTTTTTGTCCCCTTTATAATTAAACAAGAACACTACTACTTTGGCATGTGGAGGACGCAGCGCAGACACTTCCCTTCCTTCATAAGATCAAATGCTTTGTTAATTTCTTCAAATGACAAATTATGGGTGATGAACTCATCAATCTGGATTTCCTGTTCATGAAAAAATAGCAAAATAAATTCTGATCACATATATGTTTTCAACTCATGGACATGATCAATCATCAAACATGTGTTACCACAACAATGCCATCCATCAAGATTTTCTTCATAAAACAAAAAAACAAAAAACAAATCCTTTTTCAGTTATGTTAAGAGTCTCCAGTTCCAGATGAAGTATGGAATGTGAAAAAAAAAGAAAAAAAGAAAAGAATAGAAAAAAGAGTTAATCCACAAATTTCTAGAATAAATTTAAGTTGGGTGGGACATTCGTTTCTTAAGAAAATGCATAAGAATATAAAATGTTCATCTAGGGTGTGAGATACTTGTATTCTATGTATGCTTATAAAGAATATAGAAATATATTAAGAGTCTGTTCTAAGTTCATATCAAATGAGGTATGTACTGTGAATGTATATTTGTATTGTATATTTTCAGTATTAGCAAATTAGCATTAGGTTTTCCTATTTCAGTTTTTTCCTTACTGATTCTTTCCTTTTTTTCTGTTTTGTGTCCCTCTACTTGAAGAGATTTAACTTTGTAATTTAGATATGATACATAATACATTGTTTCTCCAAGTTTTCTTACATGGTATCAGAACCGCAGCTGCCACCACTGGAACCCTAGAATTGTTGCCGGAATTATTGTTTCTGATTCACGACCTGTCCTGTCACTGAATCGCGACCTGTTTCTGAGTCGTAATCTTTGGTTGCTCTGTCTTTGACTAACAATTTGCTCCGCCTCTAATTCGTGACTTGCTGATCATCGATCTCTATGTGCGAACTCAACTTCCTCTCCGTGTGAACTTGACTTCCTCTCTTTGTGAAGTCAACTTCCCGTTTCTGGATTTCAAATCTCTGGTCTGCAGTCTCAGTTCTTTGGTTTGCAAATTCTGGTTTGCTTTCTCTCTCCTCTAGGTTCTTATCTAATTTGTTATATTCAAGTTTTGATATTGGACTGGTTGAATTGGGTTTTGGAAGAATTGGTCAAGGAACCACTCTCTTCTATATTTACCTTATTTGCCCATGTTTTCTTGGTAATCAATCATGTCTGATGATAATGTGCATTGATATCCATTTGAATGGGAACAATTACTCATTGGTCCACTGTTTTCCGAAATCTTGTCCTAGGCCAAGGTTGCCTAGGGTACTTGACTGGTTTAACACCTCTACCAACCGACAGCTATATCAAAATGGGATATAAAAAAGCTCAAGTCCTCACCTGGTTACACAATTCTGTGGAACCCAGTATTGACATGAATTTCTACAAATTTCCTACTACACAGAAAGTTTGGGATTATCTGTAGACTTTGTATCTCGATTCTAACTTTGCTAAGCAATACAAGTTGGAGATGTCATTTGGAGTTCTTTGCAAAGGGACAAGTCCATCCAAGAATTCTACAATGAAATGACAGGATTTTGGTATCAACTAGCTCTTATAGAACCTCCTGAATTGCAATTGTTAGACAGTTAATACACAGTACAGGGAAAAACATAAACTCATTCAGTTTTTTATGGCACTTCGGGATCAGCTTGAGTCTCTTCGTGGAGCAATTCTTTATTGTTCACCCTTGTCATCCGGTGATGGAGCAGTGCGGGAACTTATTGCAAAAGGTTGCTCACAACGGGATCACTTCTCCATCTGTCTTTGTTGCTTCTTAACAGTCCCTATTGTTGCCTACCCCATATGCGCAACTCATTAAGATCTCTGGGAAACCGAAGTCTTGCATTGCCATGAATGAGTGTGCCTTCTACCATCAAAAAGGTCACTGAAAGTATAAATGCCCTAAGAAGAGTCATCAGCCTGTTCAGCCTTCTCAACCAGTGTCCTGTCCACCACTCAGAGTAGCTTCCGCTCTCCAGCTACTCTTGTTACTTCTACATCCGATCATCCTTCTCCGTCTGAGATGCAGTCTATGCGTGAGCAGCTCCATCATTTGTAGACCATGATCCCCTCATCTGCAAAAATCAGTCTGCAGCCTCCTCTACGACCACCAACCTCATAATTTCATGGGCATCCCAACATATCGTCTGGCTACCACCAACCTACTAGCGGGAGGTCCATCATCCAGCTAGATGAGAAGGCTGAAGACAGCTCAGGTGGTGATTTGACAATGGGGACGAAAATGGTAGCACCAAGGGTGATTGTCACAGCTCACTAGGCAAACATTATCCATTCCATTCAAAACTACTCCCCATGTCCCATATTTTTTGTCCAATACTCCATTTGGGATGTCCCAAAATAATGTCCATATTGAAAAGTAAAGGTACTCAAATCTGTTAATTTTTAATATTATCCTTTCAAATGGAACTAAATGCATCTCATGGTGTGAAATATAGCCATAATTCAGAAATTATGTTCAAATAGTTAGTTGTCACGCATTAAAATGTTTGTCGCCTTAAAAAAGTTGGATTTTGCATGTTGGACAAAAGTACAGTAAGGACTAAAGAGGGAGAAGCTCGAATAACCTGGTAATTAATGCAGTTGTTCTTACCTCCCTTAAATACATGTCCACTAACAAAGGAAGATCAGATTTTGGCTTCCACCCTCCAAGTAGTGATCCCTTCAATGTTCTCCCAGTAAGAAATAATGCATAGTGAGCTGATACCTCTGGCTCCACTTTTGGTACACCAAGGGTAACAGCCAGTCCCCATCCCTAAGGAAGTAGGAAATGATAGAAATTAAAAATAAAGTTTGAATAGAAAAAATTCCCATAAACAAAGAAACATGAATATCACAGAAATTACATCGCAACTTGACTGTAAAGCAGCAGTTATCATTCTTGTATCTCCTATACATTCGAATGAGTAGTCTGCTCCTCCATCAGTAATACGCTTCACAACCTGGAAAAAATTCAACTTGTAATAATTTGACTTCAAAATTTAAAAATATATGTGCCTGAGTGTGGTGGCACTTGTTCAGACTATCAATTTGCATGACATGATAATTTTTGTAAGGCAGTTTTGGAAGAGGTGAAAAATGTTGGATGTATGTATTGAGATGTTTTTTGAGCTTGTTTCGGCACTTGGGATTAATTTTGATAAAAGTATAGTGATGTGGAATGTGCCATGGAGATTTTATTTATTTTGTAATTTTATATGTATTTTATTTAGTTTTTATTGACAGTTTAATTAGGATCTTAATATATTTATTTCCTTATTTTATTTAGGTGTGTACAAAAAAACTAGTGGAACCGGTAAACCGATCCAATCCGATCTAAACTGCTGGTTTGCTCTGTTTATTATTAGTTTCGGTTCTGGTCCTGAAAATGGTAAAACCGTTCAAATCGGTCTAGTTCTCGGTTCCAAGGCTTTGGTTAAGGTTCTGAACTGAACCGGACAGTGACATTTATTTATTATTATTTTTTATATTTTTATATGTAAAAATTAAAATATTAAAAGCCTATTATAAGATTATTATAAGATTTGAACACTAGTCTTCATTATGAAATTGATAAACTCTACCAACTTAACCAAATTAATTATCATTAATTTATTTACCAACATAAAATATATATTATATTTATTGTTATATAAAATTTCTAGAATTGTAAAACCGAACCGCACCAAAGCGGTTTCAATGGTTCGGTTCTGGTCTGGTTCCATAGTTTAACGGATCGGTTACGGTTCTAATTTTTTTGGAACCAGTTCCTAGAGTTTGGTTTGTGGTTTACTCTAAATAGGACCAATCCGATCTATGTACACCCCTAATTTTGTTAGAGATTAAGTTTCCAAATAACGTTATGATTAGTTTCCTATTTTAAATTAGGGTTTTAAACCTTATAAATATTAGCTCTCTCTATTGTAATACTTAGCTTTGAGAATATTAATTAGTGCTTAAAGTTGTGCCCTTTTTTATGAGATTAGGGTTTTGACCATTTGTTATCCTTTCTTTCATACTTCTTATTCTTCTTGATATTTGATCTTTTCTTTTGGATCAATTCTTCATAATTTCTGGTTTTGGAATCAATTGGTTTGTTCAACAGATTTCTTGATAGCCGTTTGGCATCATATAGTGTGTGGGATGGGGATGGGGATGGAAGATTATTTCATAAAGGACTTGGCTGTGGCTCCTAAATGTAAGATTAGTGACCTTCCCACTAAATATTTGGGTCTCCCACTTGGGCAAATCCAAGATTAGTGGCAACAGGCCAGCCCATTATTGATGAATTTAAAAGGAAACTAGCAAAATGGAAGAGCAAGTTTCTTTCTTTGGGTGGTAGAATAACCGTCATCAAGTCTACTCTTGCGAACCTGCCTATTTATTATCTCGTCTTTTTAACATTCCAGAAACAGTGGCTAGACAAATTGAGCAAATCCAGATATCTGTCTTTCAGGGCAATTCTGATGGGAAAAGCAAACTTTGTATGCTGAAATGGGGAAAGCTTGGGTAGCTAAGGCGTTTGGGGGCACAGGTTATGTGCTTAAAAGTTACAAATTTTGTTGGGTTCGAAAAATGCTGGTGGAGATTCATTGAAGAAAAATCTGTGCTGTGGAGGAAAGTTTTGAGTGAGAAATTTACACCAATCAATGGCAGGCCAATGAGGAACCCCACATGGAAAAGCTGTTATAAGAAAAATGAGGACAAGCTGGATGTGGTAGTGGAGAAATAAGTGGATAGATGAAGAGGTTAAGGAATAAAATGTGTGTGCGCGCGCGCGCGTGTAACAGCCTTCCTATTATGAGATAAGGATGAAGAAATTTGCATGAGGAAGGTGAGCTTTTAGTTAAAAAAACAATGCCCAAATATTACACATTAATGTGTGTTTGGGGGAGAAAAGATTGGGTACACACGTAACCTTTGCCATAGTGCACAAAGTGGTTTCCCTGAGACTTAAACCCATAACCTCAAGGTTATTAGGCCAAGGTTTTACCATTTGCATGAGGAAGGTGAGCTTTTAGTATTATTTTTATTTTCTTAGTTCTTTTTCTCACCATATTTTGTTAGAGGGTTCCAAATATTGAAAAAGGAGAAGCATTTGTACCTTGGTTATTTAATGCAATGGATTCAAGTAAGTTTATTTCAATTATTGTTTTTATTTTCAGTACAAGAATGTTAGGCTAAATAAATGCTAAGGTTAGAATGAAATCACATATCTGATTATTCATAATTATTCATGTAAATTAATGTCTTCAATAAAAAAAAATTGGATTTTCATTGTGTTTCATTAGATTCATTTTATGATTTGTTAAAAACGGATACAAATTGTGTTTTGATGGATTTAATGAATGTTTTGATTTTAAACTATCGTTTGGCTAAAGAAAAACACATTTTCTGAAAATAAATAAAAAGAGCTTTCATATTTTTAACCATCAAATCCCTTGGGTTCGACCTTGTTCTTGCCTTATCTATACTCCAATAGGTTCATGCACTTGCAAGTAATTACAATAAATACATCAATATGTATCTGACCGTATTGGACGCGTGTTCGTATCTGATACTCGTATGGAGCCTGATGTAGAATATAAGAAGCTCAAGGAAGAGTAAATTCAAAGAACTGGCGATATTTGGAAATTGGCATGATTTCAAAGAAAAACCGATAGGAACCATTCATAATCATGTTCTAGTATTATTATAGTCTTATTTTATGAATATTTTAGAGAATTTTCAGAGCTTTGAAGTTTTCTTGTAGATTGTATGATGCAATCAAACCCTAAGTGTGATGTCTAAGGGATTCTATGAGTAATTCTTAGATCTATTTTCTTCTTCTTCTTCTCTCCCTATTTTATTTTCTGCACTTTTAACAGCCCAAAACACTGTTCACAGCCCCTGTTTTGATCTCTTTCACCCAGTTTATTGATCCTAATCCTAGTTCGTTCCATTCATTAATTCAACTCCTAAAATCCCTATTGATTTCAGCTTTAAGCCACCGTAAAACCCACAGACAGTCAGCTTTACAGTCCTTACAGCACTGTCCCCAATCGTCCTACATCAGAGCCTTTTTTGAAGTATCAGTGCTTCATAGGATTTAACATGTTCCCTAAGTAAAAAAAAAAGGAAGTGATTCCACTTTCGGCGCTACATTTGTAGTCACTTTGGGATGAGCAAAATGTGCTGACACAACATGAATATCATTCAAGTAATCATGAAACCTTAGCAACATTGTCTTTTTCCAATAAAACCGCAGGCTCAAGGGAAGCATCAGTAATAGGATTATGGGAAGGTGCAACAACAGTTGAGTGTGTGACCCTACTAGGCATCTTGGAGGAAACTAGCTCATATCGACTAGCCTTTCTAGATAGATAATGTTCAACCTCTAAAACATCTTCATAGGAATCCTCTAAAGTGTTATATCTGGTACATATCTCACTACGGATTTCAAGTCTCAACCAAGTAATAATCCACAATTCAATCATGTACCATATTTTCCTACAAAATTCAAATTGTTAAAAAAATAATTAATTAGAGATAGCAGATGTTTGTTGCCTAAGATAAATTGTCACATTTCTTGATTTCTGTAAGAACAAGACATTTTCTCTTCAATAGTTGTCACATTTCATCCCATAAAGTGGTTTGTGGTCTATTTAAACATATTCAACTCCTTTTAATTTATAGCTAAAATTGTTTAGGAAAACCTCTCGATTTCATTTTTACAAATTATACGCAATAATCATGCCAACTAAAATAGTCTTCCAAATTATTTAACCAACCTAAGAATTCACTAGGGCTTGATGTACCATCAAAATTGTGTGGAACTTTGATTGGACAAGTTCTATTTAAAGGACGACATAATATGGACTATAATAACTGATGATGACAACACAAACAAGATGGAATGATGAAGAAAGAAAGGGAAAATTAGAGGGAAGAATAAAGAAGTATTTTTTATCATATATATATATATATATTTGAATTAGAGCATGCAAAGAACAAGAAGCACAACAAATAAAAATATTAATCTCAATTTTCTATGAGAGAATATGTCCCGTTTTTTAATCCAATTAGCGCTTTGTTGCTTCAAGATATGTGCAACAGCCCCATAAAATCAAAATTTCAAGCACTCCAAATTTGTGCCAAAAACTTTTCTTTTTTTTGCTATTTTTCTACTTCTAGATTTCTTTTTTTTTCCTTGACTAAATTGGTCTCTAGGTTTTTTTTTCTCTTTTCTTTTTTTTTTTATTTTTGTTCCACTGGTTGGTGATGGGCTAAAGTGCCTACAAGAAGATGCTAAAAAGCCACAAGAAGATGCACCAAAACCAAACATTGTTCTTAAGGATGAAAACCATACACAATTGAAGTTGCATTTTAGAGATCTACTAAATATGCAAGAGACATCTCTATTTTAATTCCAAATCTCAATCCACTTTTGAAACAAGCAATAGTCATCCGTTCTCTTTCGACAACTCTAGAATTGATAAATAACTACTTATACTGTCTTGCATAATCAATCACACACATATCACCTTGCTCAAGAGTATACAATTGATCAAGAAAATCATCTTGAAGATCCCTTAGATAAATTTTTTCTCTAAGAAGCGCTTTACCCTCTTCCCAAGTCAATTCACTTGTATAGGATCTCCCACAATGTGAAAACATCATGACGGAACCTTAGGCTCTGATACCAAACTGATGTAGGACAGCGCTGAATTTTGAAAACAGAAGTGATTTAACGGCCTTGACAGTGAGTAATTAAGGGTTAAATTGAAGGCTAATAGGTAGGGGAAGGGATTAGGATTGATTTGGAGGTGATTGTTGAAAAATGCACTTTTAGAGGGCTGTGATTAATAATCCGAGAATAGTAATTTGAAATAGAAAAGAAAAAAAGAAGAAGATAGGCCTAGGAATTAGGCATCACACCTTAGGTTTGATTGCATCATACAATCCATAAAGAAGCTTCAAAATATCAACTCCATTACATGGCTTTACAACCAAAAAAAGAAACTACTAAAATATTTTTGATTTCTAAAACTAATTTAAGACCAAATAAAAAACAAAGACTAATTGAATAACTTGACTCACAAAACGACTCATGGCTGACCCATACAGTCCATGTCAGCAAATATAAAATTACTAAAATACCCCTAACCTTAAAAATTCTAGAAAAATAAAAACAATAATAAAATAAGACTCTAATAATACTAGAAACATAATTATAGAAGATTTCCATCAGTTTCTCTATGAAATCATGCCAATGTCCAACTATCATTACTTCTTTGAATTTAGCATTCCTTAAGTTTCTTATACTCTGCATCAATTTGGTTAGCTATTCAGGAAATGGATCACCACTTGTGATCTTTTTAATTAGAAGACATTGTCTTCCATAGAGATCTTCATATAGATGTTTTTGTGATTCAATGATGGAGGATGCCTCCCAAGTTTATTTCGTTGGTTTTCTTGGAAGGGTCGGAGAGTAGGTTATGCCACATGGTTTGATTGACTTATTAGTATGGTGGAGGTTGGTGAATTTCAATGGTTGAAATAATTAATTTGGGAGGTTATTCTTTACTTAAAAGGCATTGTCTTCCATAGAGATCATATAAATGTTTTTGTGATTCAATGATGGAGGATGCCTCACATGTTTATTTCGTTGGTTTTCTTGGAAGGGTTGGAGCCACTGTTTAAAATAGTGGGTGTATCATATGAGTTATGCCACATGGTTTGATTGACTTATTAGTATGGGGGAGAGAGGTGAATTTCAAGGGTTGAAATAATTAATTTCGGAGATTATTCTTTTTTTTGTTACATTACGGAGTCTGTGGCTAGTGATACTAATGTGATATTCAGCAAAGATGTCTCAGATCAAAGAGAGATTGCCGATGTGGTTCTAGTATGTGTTGTTGGAATGTGTCCCATATCGCCTAGAGCTACCCCATCTGTGCTGGTTATAAAGCTTCAATTTCCCTCTCTTTAATACATAGGCTTTAAGGAGAAGTGTGGGTTGGTTTTTCAATTTAGTATCAGAACTTGGTTGGCCCTGTGACTGGTATTACGTTTGTCTGACTACTGTATGTTGTGGTCCAAGAGGGTATGTTAGAATGTGTCCCACATCACCTGGAGTTGACCTTAGTGTGTCGTTTGTCCGGCTACTATATGTTGTGGTCCAAGAGAGTGTGTTGGAATGTGTCACACATCGCTTGGAGTTGCCCTATCTATACTAATTATAAGGCTCAAGTTTCCTTCTCCTCAATATCTGGGTTTTAAGGAGAAGTGTGAGCTGAGCATTTCAATTTGTATTAACTTGTTGGGTAAGGTCATTTTAGAGGGATAAAGGAGTATTTGGTCAACAATTTCATTTCTTGCATTGAAGGGGCCAAATAATAAAAGATGTGATTAGGGAGTTTCGTCCTTAATTTGTAATTTAGGTCGTTTTCGTTGGTAGAGATTTACATCATTGCTTTAAGGTGTTTTTCATTTTTTTGGGGTGATGTAATGTAATCATGGAAAATACCTATATTATCTTAATTTTCATTAATGAATATATATAAATTTTTTTTTTTGCCCAAAGAAAAAAAACATACTATCAAACCATAGTTATGGACTTAGAAAGAAAGAATTATGATACATAATATGTGCCCGCAACCCCAAAACGACAAGGATAGGACATATGACAAACAAATTCTATTAATGAATTCTTTAATAAAATTTAAAATTCAACCATCTTGGTAAATCCTATTATGTTACTTGTAGTACATGTTCATCTGGTGTAGTCTTCTTTCTTATAATATCTTATTCTTACTATTTAGTGTGATTGTTGAAAAATGCACTTTTAGAAGGCTGTGAATAATAATCCGAGAATAGTAATTTGAAATAGAAAAGAAAAAAAGAAGAAGATAGGCCTAGGAATTCATATAGAAGTTTCCAAGGTTAGGAGTGTGTATCTTTTATATATAAATACAAAAATATATTCCAACAATTATTTTTCCCACTTAATTGTGATGTATGTGTTAAAATATGAATTGTTATTGAAGATTGATGTCAACTACAAATTGTCTTTATTAAATATAAACAAATATTATGTAAACAGAAAATACTATAACAACTTTGAGTCTTTTTCTTGTCTCTTTGATATTTTTGTATGTTTGAGAGGTTCTATCTCAGTTGGGAGTGAGTTTCTACCCAAACGGGAGAGTTTCTTAAAGGTTTCTTACTTGGGAGGGCAGAACTGCATTTCTAAGTAATAAATGTCACCCAAATAGGAGTTTCCTGCTACTAAGCTATGAAATACCTGTTGAATTGGTTCATCATAGTCATGTGGATTGATGAAATCTGTTATTCCAAAAACCTTTGCTGCATGAGAAGATCACGGACAATATAAGAGAGTCTTGAATGTTTTAAACCATACAATTCAAAAATATAAAGACCTGAACCCATGATACCTTTTTCACTCTTTTCAGGATTAGTATCCACACCAACTATTCGAGATGCTCCCCTTAGTTTGGCACCTTGGGCAACCTATACACAAGAAATCACAAATGGCCAAAAAAGTTCTTAAGATAAGTGAATAACAGCTAGAAATCTTGGGAGCATATATAGATGGTAAAGGATGTAACTAAGTTTAATACTTACAGCAAGGCCTACAGTTCCAAGACCGAAAATGACAACTGTTGAGCCTCCAGCTATATCAGCAACCTTCCAAGCTGCACCCAGACCTAATAATGTATGCCCAATCATGAACTATTCTCATTGCAAACTAAGAAATCTTTCTCAATCACATGTAAATGGAATAAGTAAATCAAGTTATATATGAAACACAAAAGCACATGAAAATAGCATCACTGCTGAAATGAAAAGAAGTATGAGCCATATTAACATGAGATTCATACATATAATCCAAAACTATTCAACTCAAAAGATTTTTTTTTTCTTCCAAACATACATTTTCTAATATCCCTGAATGAACTGCACACATATAGAGCTAAAAAATATTCTTTCAACATTATTAACTTAACTCCTTAAATCATTCTTTTCTAGAAAGTATCAAGAGAAGAAAACTCACATAAGAAAGCTCCAGTCCATCTCACACACAAACACAGAACCAGAACCAGAAAGAATCCTGAAACATTAACACGAAGTCATTTTCTCATGTTCTTCTTTGCCTCATTGTTCACGGTGCTCATTCCTAAAGTTGATAATGCATCTTCTGCAATGAGTTTAGGGCCAATAAGCTTTTGTAATTTTATGAATAAGATCATAACAAAGTTTCTTCTGAATAGATTGGCGAAGATTTTTCCTAAAATTATTTTTGTTGTGTATAAGAATATTGCATTGTTTGGAAAGTAATTGTGGAGATATCCCATTGAGCAAGATCTTGTGTTGTCGGGAGTAACTATGAGGTTCAAGCTAATAGACAGGACTCTCATGTTGATAGTCGTGGAAATTCTAGATTTCCACGGAAATCTATTTTCTCAAGGGATTCATCTTCTTTGCTTCAAAGCTGCAAATGGGGAGAGAATTCAAATTTGGAAGGACACTTAGATAGGAGTTGTCTCTTTCAATCTTTTGTTGCCTCATATGTATCGACTTTCCTATTCTCATAATGTCCCCATTGCTTCTATGGCTTCATCTCAATTGGCTTTGATTTCTTGGATTTTATTTTTCTTTTAAGAAAACCTTAATCATCGTGAGACCAATAATTTAGCGGGCGTTTGGGGTACACTAAAAAAGCCAACTTTTGGCTAAAAAAGCTAAAAAGGCACTAAGTTGTTTGCTAACAGTTAAAAAAGCTACATGTCGCATCAACTTTATCACTCAAAAAAAAAAACAAAAACAAAAACAAAAAAAACAGCTTTTTTAGCAACTTCCCAAACACATTATCTTTTTTAGCTTCTAAAAAAGCCAACCCCAAACCCAACCTTAGTTTCTTTGCTATCTCCCCTTGATGGTTTTTCTTTTAGATGTTGATAGCAGAGAATGGACTATTCCTCATCTAGTTTATGCGCTTATAAGTACTTTGATATTGCTAGGTATTAGTGTCTAAGGGTAGTTATGTCTTTTGTTCCTTTAGTCTTCTATTATAAATATGTGTAAGAGGGGAGAACCCTAATATTATTATTGTGTGTTAATAAACTCAGGCATTCTCTTTCTTCTTCCTTTCATTCTTTTCTCTCTCTCTCTCTCTCTTATGTAAACCTAATATGATATCAGAGCTACATCTTCCTTCTTGAAGATTTCTTGTACTTTGTTGCTTGTTCTATTTCGTTTTTTCTGTAAAAAAAACAACCAAAAAAAAGAAAAAAGACCTCCATGGTTCAAATTTGATGGGTTTTCACCACAGAATTTTATATTAATTTTTTTCACGAGTGGTTGAGAGTTTTTGTCAATTTTTGTTATTTTTTGGAAAAACTGGGTCATTTTTTGGAAGTCCTTGCTGGGGCTGTTTTTGGTCTGATTTTTTCCTTCGTCCCTGTACCTTGGGAGCTAACTGGGCCAATCTATCTGAGGGCTTGGAGTCTTTGTTTCGATGATTTGACAAGGCTCCACTCTATTTCGGTCGTTTTTTCTCAGTTTCCCGCAGCTTCTAACAGTTTTAGCTTCTCTAGCCCATGTTTTAGCTCTGTTTTCGTCTCTTGAGGTAACATATTGTTCCTAAGTTGAGTTTGCGGATTTGCCTCTGATTGTTTTTTGCTGGTTTCTAGACTGGTGTTTGTTTTTTCTATTGTGGGGATTTAATTTTTCAATGGCTAAGGGTGAGACTAAGGATACAATTAGTGACAAGGGTGGGATGCATCATGTTATTACTCTTAACGATAGTCCCTCTCTTCAAATCAGCCTCTTCAAATTGGATGATTCCAACTATCTAATTTGGTCACGCTCCTGTAGTCTTGCGATTGCTGCTCACCGTTTGACTGGCTACATTACTAGTTCTCTTCCCCTACCGGATAGTGATGACTCCTTGTGTACTCAATGGATTTTTGAGAATGCTTTAGTTATGACTTGGCTCATCAACTCTATGCAATCAACCATTAGTCGGAGTTTCCTCTTATTGGATACCGCTCATAAGATTTGGACAGATGCAATCCAGATGCACTCCCAACAGGGTAATGATGCATAGGCGTATGAGTTAAGGAAGAAGCTTTAGGGCTTAGATCAGAAGGATAGATTACTCATGGTATACTATGCTGAGTGAGTAGTTTGTGGCAAGAACTAGATTATTACCAAAGCTTCCAAGCTGTTTGTTCTAGGGATGCTACTTTGTTTCAGCAAACCATGGAGAAGGAGCGTTTGTATGACTTTCTTGCTGGTCTTAATTTGGAGTATGATCAGATTTGTGTCCAGGTGTTAGGTTGTTCACCTTTTCCCACCCTACGGGAGGCTTATGCACTTGTCCAACAAGAGGAGGGTTGACGTATTGCCATGGTTCATTCTTCTATGCAGGATCGTTCTGCTTTGGTTGTTGCTTCTCCCACTCGAGCTCCTCCGCCTAGTCCTGTTCAATCTGGTAGTCAGGGTACACTGGTTGATTGAGATCAATTGAAGTGTGATTATTGTGGGAAAGACGAACATGATCGAGAGTATTGTTGGAAACTGAGTAGTTGTCCACTTGAGGCCAAGGTCGTGGAAGTCCAACTCGTCCCCAAGCGCATGTGTCTGAGATTGTTGCTAATGAGCCCAGTACTCTTTCCTAGGATGAGTTATACATTCTCAGGCATTAGGGGGCTCAACTTGATTCTCCATCTACCACAGTTTCTTCCACTTTTGCTTCTTCTAATTTTTCCCACACATGTATTCCTGCTAGTGCTCTTAGTACACATCCTTGTTGCCTTCTTAGATTATTGATTTGGTGCCACCGACCACATGACGGGTGCCTCTAATCTTTTCTATTCTTATTCTCCATGTTCTGGCCGAGACAAGGTTAAAAGTGGCTGATGGTACTTTATCTTCTGTCTCTGGCAAGGGTTTGGTTCATTGTTCATCTTTACTTTCTCTTTTCACTGTGCTTCATGTTCCTAATTTTTCCACTAACCTGCTTTCTGTTAGTAGTCTTATGGCTTCTCTAAATTGTTCAGTGACCTTTTTTGCCACTCATCGTGTCTTTCAGGACTTGGCCACAGGGAAAATGATTTGCAATGGTAGAGCACAAGGTGGACTGTATTTTCTGAATGTTGTTCCCTCTGCCATCCCATCTCAGGCTCTCAAGTGCACTACTGGCTCCTCTCTTCATCTCCTTCATTAGTGGCACCGTCGTTTGGGTCATCCTCCCTTTAGCGTTTTAGAGAAACTTTTTCCTTCCTTAGTTCGTGATTGTCCTAGGAATATTTTTGGTTGTGATGCTTGTAAACTCGCAAAGTATAAACGTACTTGTTATCCTTCAATTAATAAAAAAAGTACTTTTCCTTTTGTGCTTATTCATATTGATGTGCAGTGCCCTTCCCCGGTGGTTTCTACTTCTGGATATCGATGGTTTGTTACATTTATTGATTGTTATTCCCGAGTGACTTGGATTTACTTGCTTTGAACTAAGAGTGAAGTATTTTCTTGTTTCCAAACTTTTGATAAAATGGTGACCAATCTTTTTAATCCTCAGATCAAAATTCTTCGCAATAATAATGGAACTAAGTATATTGATGGAGTTTTTCGGGCATACCTAGAAGAGCATGGCATTCTTTATCAGACTAGTTGTGTTAGTATTCCTCAGCAAAATGGAGTTACCAAACACAAGAATGGCCATCTCCTTGAAGTTGCTTGCTCTCTCTTGTTTACGATGCATGCCCTTAACTCTTTTTGGGGTGATGTTTTTATCGCTACTCACCTTATCAACCGTATGCCTTCAAGTGTCCTCCAATTCTAGATTCCTCTTCAACTATTTTCTGTGGCATATCCCACCTCTTCTCTTCCTTCTTGGGTTTTTGGGTGTCTATTTTGTTCATCTGTAACCTCGTACTCGTGGGAAACTTGATCCTAAGGTTGTGCATTGTGTCTTTATTGGCTATTCTGCTACTCAGAAGGGTTACAAATACTATGATCCTCACATTCAGAAAGTGTATGTTAGTATGGATGCAACTTTCATGAATCTGAGTTTTTTTTACTTCTCCTCTACTATCTCCTCCGAGGGAGAGTGTTATGGATGAGATTGCGGATGAGGAGATTGCATATCAACATGAGTTATCATTTTTCCTTCCTAGTCAGCAAACTATTATTTGTGGTGAGGGGAAGCCTAATAGTCTTGATGTGAAGCCTGACATCAGTGGTCGTTTGGACAAGGTTGATCTTAAGACTTATTCTTCACGTCTGAAAGAGCAGACTTCTCTTGTGCCACCAAATCAATCATCATCTCTCATGCTGGTTCTAGATCCTGTTTCAACCAATTCTACAGTTAATGCACCTCAATTTATTCCTCCACCTGTAGTTAATAGTCCTGTTATTGGTGATTTGAGTCTTCCTATTGCTCTTAGAAAGGGGGTTAGGGCTTATACTCAACACCCCATTTCTAAATTTGTGTCATATGATTTATTCTCCTCTACATATTGTGCTTTTGTTTCGTCTCTGTCTTCTTTGTGTATTCCCCAGGGTTGGAAAAAAGCTATCAATGATCCTAAGTGAAAAGTAGCTATGGTAGAAAAGATGCAAGCTCTAAGCAAGAATAACATTTGAGAGTTGGTTCCTCTTACGAGTGCAAAAAACTGTAGGGTATAAGTGGGTGTTCACCATTAAGCAGAAAGCAGATGGAACAATTGACCAGTACAAAACACGACTAGTGGTAAAGAGATTTATTGAGACACATGGAATTGATGGTCCAGAAACCTTTGCTCCTGTAGCAAAGATGAATTCCATTTGAGTTATTCTCTCATGTGTGGCTAATTCAGGATGACCTTTACAGCAGTTAGATGTGAATAATGCATTTCTCCATGGTGATTTGGAAGATGAGGTATATATGGATTACCACCAGGATTCTCATCTTAGTTTACAGTTGGGAAAGTTTGTAGGTTAAAAAAGGCTTTATATGGTTTGAAACAATCTCCTCGAGCTTGGTTTGACAGATTCCTAAAGGCTATGTTGAGATTCGGTTATAAGCAAAGTAATGCAGACCACACAATGTTTGTCAAACACAATGTAAACAAGGTAACTGTGCTTAGTATATGTGGATGACATAGTTATGACAGGCAATGATGAGAAAGAAGTTACACATCTTAAGATGATGTTGGCCGAGGAATTTGAGATCAAAGACCTTGGTCCGTCGAAGTACTTTCTTGGGATTGAAGTTGCCAGATCTGACAAAGGCATCTTTTTTTTTCAACAGAAGTATACCCTAGATCTTCTTGAGGAAACTGGAATGTTAGGCTACAGACCTACTGATTCGCCAATTGAGGCTAATCACCATCTTTGTAGTGGTGTTGGTGATCTTATGAAGAAGGAAAGGTTTCAAAGACTTGCGGAAAGGCTTATATATCTATCCCACACTCGTCCAGATATTGCCTATGCGGTTAAGATAGTGAGACAATTTATGCATGATCCTCGTGCACCTCATTTGGATGTTGTGTATCTCATTTTGAGTTACCTTAAATCCGCTCCTGGAAAAGGGATTTTAATTTCCAATCATGATCACTAGAGATTGTAGGCATTCACAGATGAAGATTAGGCTAGTTCAATAGATGACAGGCGATCTACCTCCGGTTATTGTGCATTTGTAAGGGGAAATTTAGTCACATGGTGTAGTAAGAAGCAAGCAGTGGTGTCCAGATCTAGTGCAGAGGCAGAATACAGAGCTATGGCGCATGGTTCGTGTGAACTGATGTGGCTCTAGTCCTTGTTGAGTTATATAGGTTTTATTTGTAGTGAACCCTTGACATTGTATTTCTCACAATCTTGTTCAACATGACAAAACAAAGCATATTGAGATCAATAGACATTTCATCAAGGAGAAATTGAATAAGGGTTTAATATGTATGCCTTTTGTTATGTCTGAAGACCAATTGGCTGGTGTATTTACTAAGGGTCTTAGTAGTAAGGTGTTCCGGAGATATCTTTGCACCAACTTGAGGGGGAGTGTTAAGGATTAGTGTCTAAGGGTAGTCAGATCTTTTGTTCCTTTAGTCTTCTATTATAAATATGTGTAAGAGGGGAGAACCCTAATATTATTATTGTGTGTTAATAAACTCAGCCGTTCTCCTTCCTTTCATTCTTTTCTGTCCCTTATGCAAATCTAACAGATATTATTAATAATAGTCTTAGTGTTGGTAGTTTTAATTCATTCAAGAAGATTTGAAATTCATTTGTGCCCCTTAAGGTTCAAATCTCCACATGGCTCTATGGCTCATGTAAAGCTCAATACTAATGACATGTTTTAGAGAAGAAGACCCCATTGTTACTTGCTTCCACAGGGGTGCATTATGTGTAAACGCAATGAGGAGAGCATTGATCATCTATTTTTCCATTGTCCTGTGACCATGGCATTATGACATATGTTTCACCTGGCGGATATTCATTGGATAGCTCTGGTTTTATGTGTTCAAATGCTTGTCACTGATTATATAGCTTTTGGTTCCACTACGGAGCCCCAAGTTATTTGGAATTATGCTATTTGTATAGTGATTTGGGTTATCTGGTTGGAAAGTAATGCAAAAAATTTTGCAGATAAGTTTCAAGTTGTAAAAATGTTTATTGGATGGATTTGTTATTTGTCATCTTTTTGGACTTCAATGACATCACCTTTTAAAGGCATTGCAATGTTTTTTTATTTCTAGGAATTGGAGGGCTTTATGTGATTTGTAACTTTGTTTTGCTTATTCTTCTCTTGGAAGACCTCTTGTCCTCCTTGAACTCTAATGTACTCCTTCCTTCTTTTTAATAAAATTTTGTTTTGTCAACTAGAAGAAAAATGAAAACAGCCTCCTTCCACTCTCTCGTCTCTGAACCAACAATTGCCTGATTTTGAAGCTCTCAACATCGGAACATCATCCCATTCAATTGACTGAATTTAATTTTGTTGAACCTTGACTCAAATGTGTGTGTGATGATCGTTTAGATGATATGTTTCACCATGAGTTAGACCTTGTTTATCTTGATGTTTTCTGTGAGGAATTTTTTCTAATGTGGCACACTGCTCTCCTATTGTTACATAGATCAGTGTTACAGCTATGTTGTGTCTATGGGTGTTGGTCTTTTAACTTCAACCAGGGATTAGTTTCGGTTCAAATGTCCGACACCTCCACATATATGATGCTTATACAGTTCAGATTCAGAAGTTATTATCTTAGTGAAATACATTGTAAGTGCTAATTAGTTCCATGAAATATAATCATAGGCCCAATCCATTGAGAAGAAACTTCAGAGCCCATATGCTTAACATCAAGGCCCAACATACATTATTTGAAACTCATATCCACTTAGAAGCTTAAGCCTATAAGTGGAGAACCTATCTTATGTATAATAAGACCTATCTCTTTTACTCTTTATCCGATATGGGACGCTACCTTCACACATGCTCCAACAATCTCCCCTTCATGTGTGAACCAAACATCAGGTCTTGCCTTGCTCCCCCTTGAGTTTGATCTATCATCAAGAAGTTCATCATAGATCATATGCACTCCCCTTTAATATTGATCTATAACTCTCCAACATCGAGTCCAGCTTGGACCACCTCCACACACTCCATTGAGAGCCACCTTGTCATGGTCCAACTTTGCCACGTGCACCAAGAATTTTCTTTGCTCCATCAAGAGTTTTCATGCAAGCCCAAGCCCACCAACATCGATGCTCCAGAAGAGCCCGCCCATGGATCATATGCCACCAGCTCTGATACCAGTTGTTAGGAAATCAGGAAGCCCACTAGTGCACAACAATCACTAGCCCAATCCATGGAGGAGAAACTTCAGAGCCCATATGCTTAACATCAAGGCCCAACATTTATTATTTGGAACTCATACCCACTTAAAATATAAGTGGAGAGCCCATCTTATGTATATTAAGACCTATCTCTATTACTATTTATCCGAAGTGGGATTCTACCTTCACACATACTCGAACATTGAGAACCAGATTTCTTTCTTTTTTCCCTGTTCTTCTCTTTCCTTATATATATATATATAAAGATATTGGATGAAACAAACATGAGATAAGCGGAATACTAAAGCCAAGGACCAAGATCCATAGTCGTAGGATGCCTTATCCTGCCAAATCCAATCCGCAAATCAAACACAGCCTAAAGATATTTGTTTTTATCATGTATAGATTTCATTATGCCACCAAATGAACAATGATATCTAAACCCTCCTCTCCCCTTGTACAAGACATTCAAAAAGAGGAGCTACCAACCATGCTAATCTCTCTCCACTTACGAAATCTGCACCCCTTTCAGCCATGAAAAAATCAGCCACTGATCTATTAAATTCCCAAGACACGCCAAATGAAGACAAGGAAAAAAATACATCTTCCCTGCCACTCTACTTGAATGGGAAGATGATCCACCGACTTCCCTACCCCCTCATGAATATAAAAATAAAGGACTTTCTTTCTCTTTATCAAATTACCCATTCTAAGAATCTTCCCATCAAGCTTATTAGAAAGAGTTTGTAACCATAAATTTTGAAGTATCTATAGTTCTAAACTCTAAAAGCAAGCCATGCCAACACGACTTAATGATGCAACTGCATTCAACATAGACAAAGTTCAACCCTAGAGACCCATGCTGGTAAGGATGTCAAATAAAATAAAATTATTTCAAAATCCAATCCAATCCAATATAAAGAACCTTCCATAAACTCTTATGTAAAAATTCCATTCAAGCCAGAATACCCTATATTTACCCCAAAATTCAGTTGGACTTGAGAGTGTAAAAGAAATATGGAACTTAGCTTGTTAGCCTCATTTCCTGGTTTGTGAGACACTATCTAACAGGTGTAAAAGCTAGGGTCCCTGAAGTTGAAACAAAGGCACTAGTTGGCAAAAAGCAAAGGCAGGCAAAATTTATGGATCGCGCACAGAAACAAAAACTGAGGACTTGAAGATAATCCGACTTGATAAAAATACCATTACAAAAGAAATTTTACCTGCTGCCACTCCACAACTAAGAAGACATATTTTCTCTAGAGGTGCAACCGAGCTGACTTTGACAGCACATCCAGAGTGCACAACTGTATACTCACTGAAACTTGAAACCGCACAGTAATGATAGATGGGCCTCCCTTTTACTGAGAAGCGTGTCCCTTGATCACTATGCATTACACCTCTCCTTTCCAAACCCAGTACTTGGCAAATGTTGCTTTTACCAGAGGTACAATGTCTGCAGCTCATGCATTCTCCAGTAAATAACGTAAGCACATGGTCCCCCTGCTCAAATTCAGATACTCCTTGCCCCACGCTCTCAACAATCCTACAAAATGCCACTGAAACTTCAGCATTTCTTTGATTATATATTTTAGGGGTGTAAAGCATTAACATAACTAGATTCCTTACAAAACTTGTTATTGAATACTGAAAGTATCTGAAAATATCAATAACTCTGATCTAGTCTGATTTAGTCATTGTAAGTTTGGTGCATAATACAGTCCATATAATATAACATAATTCTAATAAGTTCCATCACCCATGGAATATAGTCTTCAATCCTCAACATACCTTAGGATCCAACAGATGAATTTTGTTTGGATGATCCAAAACATTTATAAATGAATTTTCAATAAAAAATAAAACAAGGAAAAAATAAAAAAAGGAAAAGGCAAGGCAAGAACCAATTATACAAGGAACTCAAAACATTGAAGCAATCCACAAATTCTGGAATACAAATAGCTCTCAATCCTCGACTGAAAAGTAGCATAAGTAGCAAACTCCTATTCCAACTCTTATCCTGAACTCCAGTTTGGATAAAAAGCCAGTAAGGAAGCATATATAGGCTTCAAGAATTCAGAAAAAAATATATATATGCTTCCATACATGACAGATTTCAAAGGCTTAATGATTCTATAGTCAAAAGTCCACCACTTTCCTAGTTTCAACTACATTGCCAAGTGAACACCTTTACATACAATTATTTACCACCACAAATTTTCATAACCATTTTGCTGCACCAAATTTTGTTTAATAAGCAAGGAATGTCTATCCAAAATTCAACATCCTTTTTTACACAAACAATGTTGGAATTAGAATTATTCTGGATCCCATGATTGATAGTGCTACAAGAGGTCACCAAAATATATGTATTGTATTGAATCAATAATAAGCAAAAGACAGAAGTACAACATAAATAGGAAAACAACCAAAACCCTAAGGTAGTGTTTGGTCCACTGGAATGGAGTGGAGTGGAATGATCATTCTGTCCAAATGTTCATTCCCATGTTTGGTTAGACTAAAAAAATAATGACAAATTCATTGAAAATGGAATCATCATTCACCATTATAATGGAATGATCATTCCATAAGGGAGCTAAAGGAATGCCTATTCCATTCCATTCCATCTCATTTAAGTAAACCAAATAAAGAAAAAAGACCTAATTACATATTATAGGACAAAACTACCCTTAAGTGAAAGATAAAATAACAACATAATGCATATTTCATAGGATGTAAGTGTAGAAAGTATCGAAAATTTGTTAAGAAGGAAATGAAAGCGGACAGTAGTGTGAGTCTTCGTAAAGAAGTCGGCCAACAAGAGAGAGGAGGGAACAAAAGGGAGAGTAAGAGTGTCAGCCTGAAGATGCTTCCAAACAAAGTGACAATCTATCTCTACGTCCTTCATGCACTCATGAAAAATTGAATTATGGACAATTTGAACAGCACTCTAATTGTCACAATATAACAGAGTCTGGTAAGACAGAGAAACACCCATATCAGAAAGAAACCAGCGAAGCCAAATCACTTCAAAAGTGGCATACACATACTCAGCCTCAGTGGTAGAGCAAGCAACAATAGATTGTTTCATACTTTTTCAAGAGATGAGAGAATCGCCAAGGAAATCACAAAATCGAAGGCAGTTTTTCGATCAAAAATATCACCAGCCCAATCAACATCAGCATAGGCATGAAGGGTAAAATCCAAAGAGAAAGACAACAATGTGCACTGTAATAAAGTACCTTGAATGTAGCGATGTACACGTAACAAGGCTGCACAGTGGGTGGAACGGGAAGCAGAGACAAAGTAGCTAAGAATATGAACAGTTTAAGAGAAATCTGGACAAGTCACAGTAAGGTAAACAAGATAGCCAACTAACTCACAATATACAGTAGGATCCTCAAGAGAAACACCATCAGAAACAGAAAACTTTGCATGCAATTCAATAGGAGTGTCCACAATCTTCTTTTCAATGAGATTGGCGAGAGAAAGGATATCACTAGCATATTTAGTCACAGACAAAAGATACTCAATAGGAGAAGAGGCAACCACAATACCAAGAATACCGAAAGGATCCCAAATCTTTTATCTCAAATTCCTAAAAAAGCTAGTGCTTGACCTCCTAAATAGTACTAGAGTTGGACGTACTGATGATCATAACATCCACATATAAGAAAAGAAAAACAAGACCAGCAAAAATACAAAGAACAAAAACAGCATAATCATGTAGGCTAGGACAGAAACCAATCTGGTGACCAACAGACTGAAATCGCTCATACCATGCCCTTGGGAACTGCTTGGGACCATAAAGGGCACGATGAAGATGACAAACAAGGCCCACGGATGAGAAAGGCCAGGGGGAGGTCACATATATACTTCCTCAGCAAAATGTCCATTAAGAAAAGCATTCTTGACATCTAATTAAAACGAAGGCCATTGATGTGTAGCAACAATAGAAATAAGAGTTTAAATAGTAGTCATCTTGGCAACTGGAGCAAAAGTCTTTCCATAATCTATCCCATATTCTTAAGAAAACCCCTCTGCAGTCAAACGGGGCTTTGTAGTGTTCAAAAGAGCCATTAGAAAGAGTCCTGACCTTGTAGACTTATTTGCAACCCACGAGATTCTTGCTAGCAGGCAACGGAACCAGGAACCAAGTCCCAAGTCTGAGTTTTAGCCAAAATCGTTAACTCCTCATGCACGGCAGTAACCCACATGGAAAGCTTCTTTGTAGGACTTGGGCTCATAATAAGTATGAAGATAAGAAAGAAAAGAACGATAGAAGAAATGAAAACATGTATTAGCCAAACCAAATCTTCCCAGGAATGACATTTCTGAGGGGGATAATGAGGCACAGGAGGAGCGGGATCCAGAGAGACAAAAGTGGAAGCAACAGAGTCAGAGAAGGGGAAACATAGAGGGGCCTTGCAATGCTTGTAGACAAGAAGAGCAGCCGGTGAAAATGCTAAGGAGCTGGCAGGAGGCAGGTCAGACACCTCAAGGTCAAAGACGAACTTATATGGGTGTACATCAGGAAGAAAGGGGTCAATATAAACCAATTTATCCTTGGCAATGGAAGCAGGAGGGGAAAAAAAAGTGAAGTGAGGTAATTTTTCTAAGAAGGTGACATGTCGAGAAACATAGAGCTTTTTGTCACAGGGTTATAACATCAATAACCCTTCTAATGAACGTCATACCCTAAAAACACGCATAAGACACAATGGGAACTCGGCTTGGAGCGATCCCATTTGGGAAGAAGAACAAAACATGCAGAGTCAACGACACGAAGAAAAGAGTAAGTGAGAACGACACCAAGGAGGCACTCATAAAGGGAGGAACTGGAATGAAAAGGGGTACGGATCATATTGAGAAGATATTCAACAGCGAGCACAGCTTCTCCCCAGAACATAGATGGCACAGAAGATGAAAGAAGCAGAGATCAAGCTATATTGAGGAGGTGGCGATGTTTCCGTTCAGTTCGACCGTTACGCACAGACTGATGGGTAGTACCATTACCAGCTAAAAGCTCTGTAAACTCAAACAATAGATACTCACCCCCCAAATCAAAGCGAAGAATTTTAGTAATGGTAGAAAACTGAGTAAGAACCATGGAGTGAAACCTAATTGATGTATCATAGGTTTTTTGAGTTGTTAGGGTTTTATTCTTATTTCTTTTTTCTTATTTTTCCTTTCCTACTTAGTATCACTTCAATATAATATATATACAGGGCAAATCCTTGAAGAAGGTAAGCAATTCTTTACAAGAATTCTTCCAGCAATAGCAGTTAGCAAGATGGAACTTGAACTCATCCCCCCAATATAATCAAAGAAAGTCTCAAAAGCTTTTACAATCTCATGGCCATAAAAGGCATAATCTTAAATAGGGGCATAAAACATGTAAGCATCGCAGATATCAATTCTTTTCCAAACAATTTCTCCAACCTCTCTACTACTTCACCTTTTCAATGCAATTATTTTCCACCACGAATTTTCACAACCATTTACCTCAACAATCTTGGTTACTAAGTAACAAAGGTCCATCTCAAATCCACCATCTTCTTTCGTCACATAAAATAGAATCTCAACCAACAAGATGGAACTTGAACTGATCAAACCAAGGCCATTTAAATGAAGTTTCAAAAGCTGCTCCTATTTCATTGCCAAAAACAGGGACTCTTGAACAAGGACTTAAAATATGACGAAAAACTCTCTTTTGCAAAGATTAATTCTTTTATAAACAATTGATCCCCTTTCCGGTGTCCATACTACTGCATACCATAATGTCATTGCCATTTATGAAAATCCCAAACAGATCAAGAAACAAGAAGGAAGAGTTTCTATATTTCAATTGAATTATCTCATGAAAAGCCAATGAATAACTTAACAACGACCCAACAGTAAGACATTCTTTGTAAAATTATCTAAAACTTTTGTAAGGTGTCTTTTGGCCTGTAAGAATAGTTGTTCAAATTCCAACGGAAAAGATATAGAAATGACCCTGAAGCTTCATGGCCAAAAATCCGAGGAAATATTGAAGCATGTGCCTGCACAAACAAACATACGTGTTAGACATGCAAACTTCATAGTGTGAATGGTCATAAAATAAGTTCAATAGACCTGTTTAAAAGGAAAAGAAAGAGTATGAATGTACAAGAATGATTTAGGTTACCCAAAACAGAAGGAAAAGAAACAAATATAAATAGAAAGGAACATAAAAATCTTGAAGAATTTGCACTGCAATTTCCACACATTCCCCAAGCTAAGAGCAAGACGTGCTTTTATTGCCCAAGTACAGGAACTTCATTGCTTGGTCTGATGTCAAATAGCCATTACATGTTTACAAAAGTGTGATGCATGGTTCTATTGTTAAAAGGCCCATACCGAGAACTGTAAAAAAAGTGAAGGTCTCCAGCATTGTACCAGTAAAGAAGTGTAAGACATGCTTTTGCACAATTCAACAAGTGAAGAGAAGACATGCTTTTGCACAATGCAACAAGTGAAGAGTAAGACATCCTTTTGCACAATGTATGCTACAGGATTCATTAGAGAAAATACACGAACCTCATTGCTCAATGTGATACTGAATAATTTGGCAATTAAAGTAAAAAGGATGTAATAGAAAAGGGTAAAGCATTAGTGCTAGAGCTATGTGGTAATGGTGCAACGGTGCACAAATGATTGCTACTAAACCATTAAAAGCAATGAATGGGATTTTCAATGCTTCAACAACCTTACCTTGAAGCATTAGTACACTTGTGTCAAGTGAATGGTAATGCCATGGTTGAACCCAACACTTGAATGAACGTGATTGCTGCCAATCATAAGGCTTAAGCCTTATTAGAATTTTAAATGAAAGTAGAGGCCTTTAAGCTATTGGATGCAGGGCTAATCTACCCTAATTGATAATAAGTGGGTAACTGCTACACAAGCAACTAATCATACAAGTCATCTATTATTCACAACACTTGTTCTTGACACTAATCAAACAAGCCATCTATTCTCAGTAGTTAATTTTAAGTTAGACTCAATAGTATTGAGTTATGGCATTTGTGAATAACTTGCATATGGTACAAACATGTATGATCCTTCAACATAGCATATGTGAGCAGATAAAGGGATGAAAGAAGCATGAAATTTATTGGGCAAATTACATGTACACCCCTCGAGGTTTGGTTAAATTACAGATACCCCTGAGGTTTCGGAAATTACATCCCGCCCCCTGAGATTTGTATTTTCATAACAATTTACCCCCTGAGGTTTGTATTTTCATAACAATTTACCCCCTGAGGTTTATATTTCATAACAAATTACCCCCTAATTTCTTATGCAAATATAGCATTCAGGGGAATTCGTAATTTCTCAAACCTCAGGGGTATTTGTAATTTAGCCAAACCTCGAGGGGTGTATATGTAATTTGCCCAAATTTATTTAACAAAACTAATTGATGAAAGAGAGAGAGAACCTGAGACTGCCAAGCGGTGACATCACTGCGACAGAGGGAGGTGCAAACCACCTTTATCCGAATCTCCATGGGATGGGGTGGGCTCACTTCCACCTCCTCCATTACCAAAGCCTCTCCAGCTCCCCATGCCACCGCCGCTGCTTGGGTTTAAAAATAAAAATAAAACAATAAAATCTATATAACAAAACAGCTTGGTTTTTTGAAAATGTACGCAAATCGTTAGAACAATTTCACAATAAACTTGAAATGATGAGAAAGGTTTACGTACCTTTGCAGGTGATGACACGAGGGTGTTCAGTCGAAGACAACATTTTCTTTTCTTTTCTTTTCCTGTGAAAAACAGCTCCGACTAATTCTGCCAGCAGCAACGACAACAAGTATAACTATTTTACATACAGAGACACAGTCACTATTCACACACGCACATATATATATATATATATATATATTGTATTTTACATACATACAGAGAATACAGACAAGCGGATATGCGATTTGAACTGGTTTTGGATGAAATTCGAGTATAAGACGTATGGTAGAAAAGAGAATAGAGTAGTCAATCCAACCACAAACACACAAATGTGATTTGAGCTGGTTTAGTGAATGGGTAGGTAGGTAGGTAGGTAGGTAGGTTGGGGGCTCATTTCCCTCAACAGGACAAATTAGCCTTAGATTGAAAGGAAATTTTAAAGTAGTCTAAAATATTATTACAAATTACAAATTATGTTGCTACTGTTTCTAGACTTCTCTTGTAAAAAATTTGTGAAATAATAAAAATCACGCTTTTAATTAACAAATCACGATTTTTAATCACGCTTTTAAATAATTTTTTTCTTTCAAAAAACGTAAATTTTAACAACCCTTTTAAAAAAAAAAAATTTCAAAAAACGTAAAGGGGTTTTATATTATTTTTTATCAAAATTGCGCAGAGCATTCCAGGAAGAAACGGAGGTAAGAAATTGAGGACGTAAACTCATTTTTTGAGTTTACGTTTTTTTCTCAAATTTATAAACTGAGACAATCATTTATAAATCAAAAAAATTATCAAACAAGTTTTTAAAACAATTTTTTAAATTTTGGTAAATATAAATTTTTGTTTTTTCAAACTTTTGTTTTGAATTTTTTGATTTTGAATTTTTTTTTTTTTTGGTCTTTGATATTATTTTTTTTAATAATCCTTTTATTTTCTTTTTAAATTCACTTACTTTAATACTTTTTTTATTTTTAGATTTAGATTCACTCAATCTAAATACACTTAGAGAGGTAAGGAATTTTTTTGAGTTATATATATGGTGTTAGAACAAAGTCACCATGTTCAAATTTACAGTACTGAACTATATTGTTTGGTTCGGACTTTTAACATTTACGTTTTTTGTTTATATTTATAAAAATTTTATAAACTGGTTTCTATTTATTTTTATTTATTTTTAGAAAAATATAAATTACAAACGTGTTTGGTTTGAATAAAATGTTAAAAAAAATTTAAAACATAAACTAACAAATATGTTTGTTCAAGCTTAAAATATTTATATTTATATTTATTATTTATGACAATGGGATCACACATATTATAATTGAAAAAAATTAATTAAAAAAATATTTGAAAAAAGTTTAATTGGAAAAAATGATTTGAAAAAAAATGAAAAAAAGTACGAAAACTTTTTGAAAAGGGTTTTAGAAAACTCAAACCAAACAAAATGGTTTTTTTAATGTTTCTCGTTTAGTGTTCTAAACAATTTTTGTTTACAAAAATAAGATGAAATTTTAGTTTATTCTCATATTAAGATAAAATGTGAATGATAAAAAATAAATAAATAAAATTAAAAGGTGGTTTTCAATTTTTTTCTGTATAAAAATAATATTATGGATAAATTATAAAATAAAAAAAAATAAAGATTTGACTCTAATAACAAACCAAAATTAAAATTTTTATTTTATCAATTCAAACATTATTCTTTCTATTTGGTTTTAATTTCAAACCCCCGTCTATTTTCGTTAAACACAACTAACGGAATCAGCGTATTTATATTTTTATGTTTTTTTAATTCTTACATTTGGCCATTTCCACCGCCATTCCTCTGCAACTTTCCTTCCTTTCCGCCATACCCCACCTCTGCACCAAACCCATCTCCTTTCCGAATCAAGATTCTCTCCTTACCTTTCCTCCTTGATTCCTTGCCTGTTAGGTTATTGGATCCAAAATTTTGATAATCCAAACCGTTCATATTTTAAGTTTTATTAAATATATCATACATGTAAAAAATCAAGTTAATCGGATGTCAAAAACTATGTGTTTGGATCATCTAACTAAAAACCATTTTTTTAAAAAATTTAATATACAGTTTTCCAAACACATACTTTCTGATATCCGATCAATTTGATTTTTTACAAATATGATATACTCAACAAATCTTAAAATGTGAACAGTTCGGATCATCGAAATTGAACCTAAAAGTAGGCCCAATAGTCCAGCAAGTAGGAAATCAAGTAGAAACGTTAAGGAGAGGATCCGGATTCCTCCTTTCCTCCCATTGCTAACCCAAATTTCCCCAACCACCTGCCTCCATTCTTTACAATATGTTTGGATTGAGTGATTTAAAGAGAAAAAAAATAAATAAATAAAAAGATATGTATTTTTTTACTTGTTTATATAACTTAAGTGAAGAAAAAAGAAAAAAAATGGAGAGGAACGGAGAAAAACTCATTTCTCTTATAATTCTCATTTTCAATCTTCTCAAAAGTGAAGAGATAGAGAGAAAAGAAACCAACAAATTTTTATATTTTCATTATACCAATTTTGTTCTTGTAAAAATCAAAGAAATAAAATGATCGACAAAATATAAAAAAATTATTTTAATAATATAACATAAAATAATTTCTTTTCTTTGCCCTTATGAAATCTAATTAAATAAGAATGAGAGAAATCACAATCACTTCTTTTCTTTTATTTCTTACTTATTCAAATAAAAACGAAAAAAAACCACAATTATTTCTTTTCTTTCCTTTTTCCTTATAACTTAAGTTCTCCTCTCCCCTTTCCACCATACCATACCATTCCCCATCCCCTGCACCAAACCCATCTCCTTTCCTCCCATTGGCCATTGCTAACCCAAATTTCCCCAACCACCTGCCTCCATTCTTTACAATATGTTTGGATTGAGTGATTTGAAGAGAAAAGAAAAAAATTAAAAATAGAAAGATCTGTATTTTTCTTACTTGTTTAGATAACTTAAGTGGAGAGAAATGAAAAAAAAAATGGAAAGGAACGGAAAAAAAACTCATTTCACTTATAATTCTCATTTTCAATCTTCTCAAAAGTGAAGAGATAGAGAGAAAAGAAACCAACTGATTTTTATATTTTCATTATACCAATTTTGTTCTTGTAAAAATAAAAGAAATAAAATGATTGACAAAATATAAAAAAAAAATTATTTAATAACATAACAAAAACTAATTTCTTTTCTTTTCCCTTATGAAATCTAATTAAACAAGAATGAGAGAAATCACAATCATTTCTTTTTTTTTTTTATTTCTTACTTATTCAAATAAAAACAAAAAAAAACCATAATTATTTATTTTCTTTTTCCTTATAACTTAAGTTCTCCTTCCCCCCCTTATTACAAAAATTCACACACAATCAGAGTATACATATGGGGCTTACATGTGCGGAAGCAATAAATTTAAATCTAAGTAGTCCATAAGAGTTGTGTATAGATCCAATGAAATGACATACATCTTAACATGGTTTTATAACTTGAACACGAATAAAATAAAGTACATGTTACATCTTGATCAAAAAGCTTCTCAAGCCGAAATATACAAAAAGAAATGAGTTACAAACTTAGAAGCATAATCTTCAAGATGACACAAAACATGAATCAAAACATCTTGCACATAACATCTTAGGCTTCACCGCCTTCTTGCTCGTCACCTACATATATATAAGGGGAGAGTGAGCTTGGATACTCAGTGAATATAGCAATCTCGGTTTTCCCTTTCGATATCTGTTGTATTCTGGACTTTGGTTTCGTGGAGTTGGTAGTTGTATCTATCTTATTGTCATCCTTTGATTCCATTTGTTTGAGTTTTAGGATGTGTTGGGCATGTTTCAAGCAGGTGGGTTGAGCCTTGGTCTAAAATCTTGTTGCCAGGTTTTTGGTCGTTTTGCTTGAGCGGGTCGACTAGCGCTCGAGCGGAGATTGCACACTTTCAGTATTTTTGGTGCTCTGCAAAACTTCTACAGGCGTGATTTCTACCCTCGAGCAGATTTCCTGCGCTCGAGCGGGTCACGCTTGAGCGGGCTTGTTGGGGCTCGAGCGGGTAATATATTTTTGGTGTAAGTTCTGGGAAGGGGAAATCTACGCTCGAGCGAACTAGTTTTCGTGCTCGAGCGAATGTACTTTATTCTTGTGTCTTGGCGCTCGAACGGGCCTTATTGCGCTCGAACGTGTCCAGATTTTTGTGCTTTACGATCGACCGTCCTGTTCTCTGATCGAGCGGGAATGTCGTGTATCAGAAGGCAATTAGGCATTTTTGAATCACTTTTTACATTCACTCTCTCTCTCTTACTTTCCCAAAACTGATTTTGAGAGCCTCTCTCTCTAGAAACTCCCTTCTCTCTAGGGTTTGATCTAGTTAGAGTGCTTCCCTTTCCTTTGGCCTTTGTAAAAGTTATGTTGATCGTCGAGGGCTTCGTTTTGATCCGTGGATCTTGGAGTTTTGAGCATTTTGATTTTCTTCATCTCCTTCCCTTGGGCTCCAAATTTGAGGTAGGGATTCCTACTCACTTTTATGGGTTTTGACCTAGATATTGAGTTTTTGTATAAATAGTTTTGGGTTTTGGAAATTAGGGTTTCAAATGTTTAATTTTGAAAAGAGGGTTTTTTTTTTATTTTAGACCATAAATACGTATTTGGGTTTCAAAATGAGTATAATGATGTTGTTGGTAATGTATGGACTCTTGGAGTCAATATTGGGAATCAAGAGGAAAATGCCATGTTTGGGTATTTTTGGGTCACTAGTGTAATTAATGACAAGTGTTGAGAAAATACGGAATTGAGTTGAATATAATGAAATTGGCTCATTATGAGATGGATTAGTGAAGTTGGATTTATTAATCGCTCACTTTTGGAAATATAGATAAATTATCTGTTTAGAAATAATTGCCTTGGGCTACTGGTGGAGGGTAGTCGTGATTGTTGTAGACAATGCATAATGATTAGGCAAACTGAAACTAATCAATGGAATATGTCATCGTATATGACAGTTGAAAGAATACATTAACTTTATGTATTGTTTGATGATGTATATGATAATTGTTTATATGCATTGTATTGTGTGGGAGGAGAAAGGGGATATACTCCACGGTTTAGGGGAAGATAGGGGATGGACCTCTAAACCGGTTAATGTTTGGGAGAAGATAGGGGATGAACTCTAGTGATACAACTTATATGCTTATCCGTTGAAGTGTTGATATAGCTCATATGCTTATCTATGGAAGTGTTGATATAGCTCATATGCTTATCTATGGAAGTGTTAATATAGCTTATATGCTTATCTGTTGAAGTGTTGATACAGCTTGTATGCTTATCTATTGTGAAATGGGAAACGTT